CCCGACGGTCTAAACCCGACCTACCTCGTCTATTTGGAATTAATCTCCCGAGGCTTTTACGCTAAATCCCAACTCTCTCTCACGTACTCACGGTTCGGCTCGGATGTGCGTGAAGTCTTAGCTGCACGAAGCTCTCGCTGGGAGCGGGGCCCTGGCTGCGCTGATACTCTTCACACAGACGATCCAGTGGCCGGCAAGATGACTGCTCCAATCGCTGATCACGACTAAATAACTCTACCTTGCCTCGCCCGTTATTGTTCTTTACATCAAAGAGGATTTGGCGCTGATCCGCTCGCCTTCTCGGCCAAACAGATCGGACCGTTGCTCTCAGCGACGTCCGCATCTAGGTTTGCCACGAAGCTCCCGACCAATCAGAGGGCCTGCCATTCGTGGCTCCGCCCCCTACCTGCCTGCTGACCTGTGTGTGTGGTGTGTGTCTTAACCCGCGGGGGCTGCGTAGCCTCGTCGTGACCGTGTAATTCCACGTTAATTCACGGTGCCGCAGCGCAATTTAGCCTGGGGAAGCCTAAGTCAATTCCCTGGCCTCAGGGAAAACCGTGGAGAATGTTCCCCCACGAGGAGGGCTCCTGGGTGAAACCTGTGGGGCCAGGCGACTTCCCCGCGAGGCTCTATGTGGGGGGGTGTGTCCGGGTGTTCATGTGGGGGGGCGGTGAGGGAGGAGCAGTGTCGGCCAAGCTGCTTGGTGGTGGTGGGGTCGTAGGTGCGGCGTCGGCAGAGCGGCTTCGCTGCTGTGGCACCAAATAGCACCCCGAGGCGCCCGTCCCCGTCCGGTTGACTGGAGCACCTCGCCTGGGCTGCCCCACGAGGTAGCGCTACGGGGTCCGGGGATCCGCCCGGCCCTCGTGGCTGGTCTCGGGGGGGGGGGGGGGGGGGTGGTGGCTCGTCCTCCTGGGGTTCCTGCGGCTCCCCTCGTCCCTCGGCACCTGCGGGCTGAGGGACAAACTCACAGGCAGAAGGTTTTAGGGGCCGTCGCCCCCCGCCATCCCCTGGCTGGGCCACTACGCGACATAGCCAACTCGTAAGGGTTGTCACATAAACAGAAAATGCTAATTCGTTACTAGTACAGCACACCGGTGTATTGGAGAGCCAAGGCACAACATTTACAATCTGAGTACGTTAGCCAGTAATTACAACCCAGCTTCATCAGGCGACAGCCAGATTTGTGTGCAAAAACGAACGTGTCGGCGTGATGTATTTTTCAATAACTCTCCACAAGCAGACAGGAGCGTCACACTATTTAAAATTTAATCGAGCATTGCAATTTACAACAATTCCCACCGCGCGTCCGTGAATACTCAACACGCGTAAGATACTGTGGGGGGGGGGGGGGGGGGGGCTTGGGGAACCAAATCAATTAACGGCACAGCCCAGGGCAAAAGCAACTACCAGTGTCCTCGAAATACCGGGATAATCCACTCACTTTCCTTACAACCCACCAAAAATATTCCACGAAGGCAAAATTTCGCGCATTTACAACCAGGAGTTGCATTTATATTGCTTGGTATACTATACACAAAAAGCAATATAAAACAAAAAATACAATTAAAGTAAAAAAAACACAAGCCAAATTTTGCAACACACACACAATCCACTGCCACAAGTAGTTGCACCACGGTACCAAAGTGGGACTGCTGTCCTGGCTTGTGATAAATCTGCACGGCGTGCAAACGCAGCCCGTCATCAAATCAGCATCCGCATTTGCACGCCTCTGGCGAGTTTTGGGAACGTGATTTTACGTTCTCTTTTTTAGGGGTTCCCCCAAAAAGCTTGTGTAAGAGGAACAGCCCTTCAAACCGATTACTCACATCACCAGAGGGAGATCTACGGAGTGCTTTTGGCCTACTCTTCCAGCACCAGCCCGACATCTTAAGAGGTAGGAGTACCCATACTTCACCTCCACCACGCGTCATCTTCCCAATCGACCCCACTTCCGTTGCGTGCTGGACGTGGTGGTATTTCTCGACCCATGCTATTTCGAGGACACAGCGCACAACCCCCGGGCTGTAACCATTTCAAAGAGGAAGGATAAGGTGGTGGTGGTAGGGGGGGGGGGTCATAAAGATCGTAAGGAATCGCGCGACATTCAAGCGACAAGCAAGCCACTCAATGAGAGGAAAAGGTGCCCCGTGGCAAGCCTCTTAAAAATTAAATACAGCACATCGAGGGTTTTTTGCTGCCACACAACGAGGTTACGGCTACTCTCACACGACTGCTAAACCACACCAGAGCCAGGGGGGGGGAGTGGTGGAGGGACGTTTAGACGAGCACAACATTACACTACACACGTTTCGTACGTCAACTACACCACTTCCAAACATTCAATTCCGTTTAAGCCATTTACACGTGGCAATAATTAATACAGCATTCCGAAACGAACAAGGTTGTCGTGTGTGTCTCTTTGTATTGATCGGCTGCGTGCATTTTAACAAATCTCAATACTCTCCCGCCCCTGAACATAACGAAAGAAAAAAAAATATATGCAAAATTGCAGAAGAGTTACTTTTTTTTTAGGGAGCCGATTTGCTGCCAAAACAAATCGGACCAAATCTTTCAATGAGAGAAGACTTGGGTCTACTCTTGTTTTTGTTGTTGTGATTCCAGTTGTTTGTGCTCAAGTCCGTGTACCCCAGACGCAACCAAAAGCAATCGTGATATAATCGCTCGCCTCAAACTTCTATTCGTCTTTGAACAAAGATACACGTGGCATGATGCTAAACACGTGGCATGATGCTAAACACGTGGCATGATGCTAAACACGTGACGGACAAATTACGGCCGTGCGTCTTCAGTGCAGCAATAATATGCAGTGCAAATAAACAGGTGAATGGTGATCAATGCAGTCAGCGTTGTTTATTAATGGCCAAGCTGAGATGATGACCGTTTTGAATGTCCCACTGTCCTCGGCAAAACTGCGACTACCTCGGATGTGCACCGCCACTGGTTTGGGTGGAGTCATATCACATGAACATGTTCAGTCCCCGAGTTAATCCACTGCTGGCTGAGGGCCTCCTTATGCTGTGTGGGTCATGGGTGATATTTGACCATAATTCCCGCTGGGCAGTGCTGGTTGGTGAAATAGATGCTGGAGCAGAGCACAGTAACAACGGTTGATTTTGCTGCACTGCCGCCTTCTGCTGGCAATGTAGCCCAACAGCGGCCTACAATGCCAATTTTGTACATTGTCGTCGCCCATCCAAACATTATCCAGGCTCGACTCTGCTTGGCTTACGAAACAGGACACATTCCTGGTGATTTGGTGATCGGCGATTACATTCTGAATCCAATCATGGAATGTATCAACGCTGCAAATTTAATAAAAAATCCCCCACGTGTTTCGACATCCGTCACGCTCCTCCGTTAGCCCCGTGTCTTACGGGGACACGACCCAGCACGTGGGTGCGCATAGCCCGAATGTGCATGGCCAAAGAGTGCAGATGAACGCAGATGAAAGCGCGCGAGCGCATTGGCAGGCGAGCACGTACCAGAGCTGGAGTCAAACACGAGTTCAGCAGCGATGTTGGCCGCAACAGCAATCCCGATATGGTGTTTTTTTTGCACTTGCATTGCGACTGCAAAGTGACGCAATAACGCATTTGTAACCGACTCCAGGTCGAGCACACACACACACACGGACAGACTGACACAATTGGAAACTCCTCCCTAACTACCGATGACCAGCTCGTTCAGAAGCACATGCCAGGTAGTTTACATGCGGCCAACCACGAGGCACGGATCGACCGTGGAGATTCGTAAAGCGGTGTCCGTTAATCGACGAGTCTGCCCCTACCTCGGTAGGCATTCAAAATCGGCAACGGGCACTCATCTCAAACAGCTCGCATTATAAGGTCGCACTCATTAGACACGACAGTGCTTGTAACAAATCAACCACAACACTCTGCCTTCTCGACAGACCTGTTCTTCACCTGAAGACGCTGCTTGCATTGTGGCCGAAACGTCGTGAGAATTATTTTATTATGTTTTATTTTTATTATTTTCCTTCTACGTGACTTACCGAAAGAACCAGAAGATCAACCACAACACCTTGCTGATCTCGTCAAGGAGTGGGAGCATAAGCCGTCACGCGAATTCCGGTCATCCTCGCAGCAGCAGCTTTTGGCTGGCCATTTGGACAAAGACGATCACCGCATCGCGGCGCTTTCAGAGGCGCTTCTGCAGCCCTCTGGAACGCTCTTCCTTCCGATATGCGGAAGCCACTGGAGCTATGCACTTTTAAATAATCTAGACTGAAAACTCATTTCTTTACAACTGCTTTTTGCGTTTAGTTTGTTGTCCTTCCCCCGCACCTCCGATTAGCACGGTCGGCTACGTACGGTGCGAAAGAAGTTCAACATACGTACAAATAAGTGTCGGCGCGGATGAAACAGAAATGTATGTCAAAGGAACAGCTCTTCAAACCGAGAGAGCCTTTACGCGATGGCAGCGCGAGTGCGTCTCGCGCAGCGGATCTGTTTGTACTTGAGCATCGATGCTGCGCCAGCGATTGTTCGCAGAGCCGGCCCAATGGTCAGACTGGAAGAGGTTAAACTGCGACGGGGGGAGTTTCCAGTTGCGAGTCTCTTTACTGAGGTGACCTTGGGTACGTGTGTGTATGTATGTGTCTTTGTACGTGGTGCACACACACAAAGTGCACCTAGCCTGGCACAAACGCCATGGTGATATTACCATCTCTTATGTGGCGAACGGCGGTTGCTGTTGTTGTGCGGGTGTGTATCTTTGTTTTATTCAGGGTATGAATGTGTGGTTGTAATTGCTAGCTGCAATTTCGATCGCTTTCATTACAAATTACACAATTATAACTGTGAATGACACCAGTTCTGGGGGGGTCACACACACACCCAAGTAGAACCGGAAACTTTCCCCTGACAATGCTGACAGGCTGCCCACACATGCACACGTCAAGAATTCTACACCAAAGACTACCCACCCCCCCCCCCAACACGGGGATTGTGAAAATTCTCAAGTGGTCTCTCACCTACAATACCTCGTTGGGTAGGTTAAATCTTAAATAGACTCTCTCATCTCAATCCCTCGGAAACAGCTGCGATCGGCGTGGATTGAATCGAAATGTCTCGGAGAGCCTTCAGGTGCCGGCAGAGGAGCGAGGATGCCTCTCGTGCAGCAGACCGCTCTGCAGTCACGAATAACGCTGTGGCTGTGGTGATTTAAGCGGTGGCCGCCCAGTGTTAAGCTTCGACAGGGGGAGTTTCCAGAGAGCGTGCTCTTAGGTGTCCTTAGGCAGATGTGTGTGTGTGCAAGAAGTGTGTGTGCAGGGTGTGTGTGTGTGTGGGGTGGATGTTCACGCGGGGTGTGCGTATGTGAATGCATGTATGCGTGGGCATCATGCGGGGGAGTTGGTGTATAGGGGTGTGTGCGTGCACATGTACGGTGTGTGTGTGTATATGCATGTGGGTTGTGTGTATTTGTGTGGGTTGATGTGTGTGTGTCTTTGCATGTGTGAGTGGGATATGTGCGTAAGTGAGTGGGTATACATGTGTATGTGAATGATGTATGTGTGGGTGTATATGTCTTTGCGGCGTGTATATTGTGGGTGTGTGTGGGTTGTGTGTGGGTCTATGTGTAATGGTTGTGTGTCTAATGTATGACAGTGTGTGGCTCGTGTACCAGCTCGTGTGTATATATGTATGTACGTGTGTAAGTGTATGCGCATGGGATTAGGGTTAGGAGTCGTGCGTTCGCTGGTTGTGGACTGAACGTGTGTTCTGGTCACCAACAGCAGCTGTCACTTGTATGGCTCAGTCTCCCATTTTCACTTTCGATGTCTGCGTAAAACACAAACAACAACGATGCCAGCAGGTCAATCATTGTCCTTTCCCTGCACCTCCAATTAGCACGGTTGGCTATATATGGTGCGAAGACGCTTAACATACATTCATATAGTTGCTTGGTTAATGCATACACTGCAATTTAGTTTATTAATCGACGCAAAATGATATTCAGAGTTGAATATTTTTTCTCCAAGTGTTACCCATATAGTTTAATAAAGAATTAATAATTGGTAGAGTAATCGATCACTGAATTAATTGGATAGCCCAGCTCCAACAATGACCATCATTACCGAAGCGCCACAGCCCCATAACCGCACCCCTACAACCCCACCCACAACCCCACCCACAACCCCACCCACAGCCCCACCCACAGCCCCACCCACAACCCCACCCACAACCCCACCCACAACCCCACCCACAGCCCCACCCACAACCCCACCCACAACCCCACCCACAGCCCCACCCACAACCCCACCCACAACCCCACCCACAACCCCACCCACAGCCCCACCCACAGCCCCACCCACACACCACCCACACACCACCCACAACCCCACCCACAGCCCCACCCACAGCCCACCACACCCCACCCCAACCCACCCAGCCCCACCCACAGCCCCACCCACAACCCCACCCACAGGCCCCACCCACAACCCCAACCCACAAGCCCCACCCACAGCCCCACCCACAAACCCCACCCACACCCCACCCACAACCCCACCCACAACCCCACCCACAACCCCACCCACAGCCCCACCCACAGCCCCACCCCTACAACCCCACCCACAGCCCCACCCACAGCCCCCACCCACAACACCACCCACAACACCACCCACACACCACCCACAACCCCACCCACAAGCCCCACCCACAACCCACCCCAACCCCACCCACAAGCCCCACCCACACACCCACCCACAGCCCCACCCACAAGCACCACCCACAAGCCCCACCCACAGCCCCAACCCCCAACCCCACGCCACAGCCCCACCCACAGCTCCACCCACAACCCCACCCACAACCCCACCCACAACACCCCACCCACAACCCCACCCACAACCCCCCCCACAGCCCCACCCACAGCCCCACCCACAACCCCACCCACAACCCCACCCACAGCCCCCCCACAACCCCACCCACAGCCCCACCCACAGCCCCACCCACAACCCCACCCACAACCCCACCCCACCCCACCCACCCCAGCCCCACCCACAGCCCCCCACAACCCCACCCACAACCCCACCCACACCCCACCCACAGCCCCACCCACAGCCCCACCCACAACACCACCCACAACCCCACCACAGCCCCACCCACGCCCCACCCACAGCCCCACCCACAACCCCCCCACAGCCCCACCCACAACCCCACCCACAACCCCCCCACAGCCCCACCCACAACCCCACCCACAGCCCCACCCACAACCCCACCCACAGCCCCACCCACAACCCCACCCACAGCCCCACCCACAACCCCACCCACAGCCCCACCCACAACCCCACCCACAGCCCCACCCCTACAACCCCACCCACAGCCCCACCCACAGCCCCACCCCAACACCACCCACAACACCACCCACAACCCCACCCACAGCCCCACCCACAAACCCACCCACAACCCCACCCACAAACCCCACCCACAACCCCACCCCTACAACCCCACCCACAGCCCCACCCACAGCCCCACCCACAACACCACCCACACCCCACCACAGCCCCACCCACAACCCCACCCACAGCCCCACCCACAACCCCACCACAACCCCACCCACAGCCCCACCAAAACCCCACCCACAACCCCACCCACAACCCCACCCACAACCCCACCCACAACCCCACCCACAACCCCACCCACAACCCCCCCCACAGCCCCACCCACAACCACCCACAACCCCACCCACAACCCCACCCCTACAACCCCACCCACACCCCTACCCACAGCCCCACCCCTACAACCCCACCACAGCCCCACCCACAGCCCCACCCACAACACCACCCACAACCCACCCACAGCCCCACCCACAACCCCACCCCAACCCCACCACAAACCCACCCACACCCCACCCACAGCCCCACCCACAACCCACCCCACAGCCCCACCCACAGCCCCACCCACAGCCCCACCCACAACCCCACCCACAACCCCACCCACAACCCACCCACAGCCCCACCCCTACAACCCCACACCACAACCCCACCCACAGCCCCAACCCTACAACCCCACCCACAGCCCCACCCACAGCCCCACCCAACACCACCCACAACCCCACCCACAGCCCCACCCACAACCCACCCACAACCCCACCCACAGCCCCACCCCTACAACCCCACCCACAGCCCCACCCACAGCCCCACCCACAACACCACCCACACCCCACCCACAACCCACCCACAGCCCCACCCACAGCCCCACCCACAACCCCACCCACAACCCCCCCACCCCCACCCACACCCCACCCACAACCCCACCCACAACCCCACCCACAGCCACCCCCAAACCCACCCAGCCCACCCCTACAACCCACCCCAGCCCCACCCACAGCCCCACCCACAGCCCCAACCCACCCCCCCATAGCCCCACCCCAGCCCCACCCCTTAACCCCAACCCACAGCCCCACCCACAACACCACCCACAACACCACCCACAACCCCACCCACAGCCCCACCCACACCCCACCCCAACCCCACCCACAACCCCACCCACAGCCCCACCCACAACCCCCACCCACAGCCCCACCCCTACAACCCCACCCACAGCCCCCCCCACAGCCCCACCCACAAACACCACCCACAACCCCCACCCACAACCCCACCCACAGCCCCACCCAGCCCACCCACAACCCACCCACAACCCCACCCCACAGCCCCACCCACAGCCCCACCCACAGCCCCACCCACAACCCCACCCACAACCCCACCCACAGCCCCACCCACAACCCCACCCACGCCCCACCCACAACCCCACCCAACAACCCCACCCACAACCCCACCCACAGCCCCACCCCTACAACCCCACCCACAGCCCCACCACAGCCCCACCCACAACACCACCCACAACCCCACCCCAGCCCCACCCCACAACCCCCCCACACCACCCCACAGCCCCACCCACAGCCCCACCCCTACAACCCCACCCACAGCCCCACCCACAGCCCCACCCACAGCCCCACCCACACCCCACCCACAACCCCACCCACAACCCACCACCCACACCCCCACCCAACCCCACCACAACCCCACCCCAACCCCACCCCAACCCCCCACCCACAGCCCCACCCACAGCCCCACCCACAGCCCCACCCACAACCCACCCACAACCCCACCCACAGCCCCACCCACAACCCCACCCCACAACCCACCCACAGCCCCACCCACAGCCCCACCCCAACCCCACCCACAACCCCACCCACAGCCCCACCCACAACCCCACCCACACCCCACCCACAACCCCACCCACAACCCCACCCACAGCCCCACCCACAACCCCACCCAGCCCCACCCACAACCCCACCCACAACCCCACCCACAGCCCCACCCCTACAACCCCACCCACAGCCCCACCCACAGCCCCACCCACAACACCACCCACAGCCCCACCCACAACCCCACCCACAACCCCACCCACAACCCCACCCACAACCCCACCCACAACCCCACCCACAACCCCACCCACAGCCCCACCCCTACAACCCCACCCCAGCCCCACCCACAGCCCACCCACCCCACCACCCACAACCCCACCCACAACCCCACCCACCCCCCCCACAGCCCACCCACAACCCCACCTACAACCCCACCCACAGCCCCACCCACAGCCCCACCCACAACCCCACCCACAACCCCACCCACAACCCCACCCACCCCCCACCCACAACCCCACCCACAGCCCCACCCAACCCCACCCACAGCCCCACCCACAACCCCACCCACAACCCCACCCACCCCACCCCCACCCCTACAACCCCACCCACAGCCCCCCACCACAGCCCACCCACACCCCACCCACACATCCCCACCCACAACCCCACCCACAACCCACCCACATCCCCACCCACAGCCCCACCCACAGCCCCACCCACAGCCCCACCCACAGCCCCACCCACAGCCCCACCCACAACCCCACCCACAACCCCACCCACAGCCCCACCCACATCCCCACCCACAGCCCCACCCACAACACCACCCACAACCCCACCCACAGCCCCACCCCTACAACCCCACCCCTACACCCCCACCCCTACAACCCCACCCACACCCACCCACAGCCCCCCCACAGCCCCACCCACAGCCCCACCCACAACCCCACCCACAACCCCACCCAGCCCCACCCACAGCCCCACCCACAACCCCACCCACAACCCCCCACCCAACCCCACCCACATCCCCACCCACAACCCCACCCACAACCCCACCCACAACCCACCCACAGCCCCACCCACAACACCACCGACAACCCCACCCACAGCCCCCCCACAATCCCCACCCCTACAACCCCACCCCTACAGCCCCACCCCTACAACCCCACCCACATCCCCACCCACAGCCCCACCCACAGCCCCACCACAGCCCCACCCACAACCCCACCCACAACCCCACCCACAACCCCACCCACAGCCCCACCCACAGCCCCACCCACAGCCCCACCCACAACCCCCCCACAACCCCACCACAGCCCCACCCACAGCCCCACCCACAGCCCCACCCACAGCCCCACCCACAGCCCCACCCACAGCCCCCACCCACAGCCCCACCCACAGCCCCACCCCATCCCCACCCACCCCCACCCCACAACCCCACCCACACCCCACCCACAACCCCACCCACAACCCCACCCACAACCCCACCCACACCCCCACCCACACACCCCACCCACAACCCCACCCACAACCCCCCACAGCCCCACCCACAACCCCACCCACAACCCCACCCACAGCCCCACCCACAACCCCACCCACGCCCCACCCACATCCCCCCACAGCCCCACCCACAGCCCCACCCACATCCCCACCCACAGCCCCCCCCAACCCCACCCACAGCCCTACCCACAGCCCACCCAACAACCCCACCCACAACCCCCCCACAACCCCACCCACACCCCACCCACAACCCCACCCACAACCCCACCCACAACCCCACCCACAACCCCACCCACAACCCACCCACAGCCCCACCCACAGCCCCACCCACACACCACCCACAACCCCACCCACAGCCCCACCCCTACAACCCCACCACAACCCCACCCACAGCCCCACCCACAGCCCCACCCACACCCCACCCACAACCCCACCCACAACCCCACCCACAACCCCACCCACAGCCCCACCCACAACCCCACCCACAACCCCACCCACAGCCCCACCCACAACCCCACCCACAACCCCACCCACAACCCCCCCACAACCCCACTTACACCCCACCCACATCCCCACCCACAACCCCACCCACAACCCCACCCACAACCCCACCACAACCCCACCCACAACCCCCACCCACACCCCACCCACAACCCCACCCCACCCACCCACACCCCACCCACAGCCCCACCCACAGCCCCACCCACAACCCACCCACAACCCCACCCACAACCCCACCCACAGCCCCCCCACAGCCCCACCCCAACCCCACCCACAACCCCCACCCACAACCCCACCCACAACCCCAACCCACAGCCCCACCCACAGCCCCACCCACAACCCCACCCACATCCCCACCCACAACCCCACCCACAACCCCACCCACAGCCCCACCCACAACCCCCACCCACAACCCCACCCACAGCCCCACCCACAACCGCACCCACAACCCCCACCCACAACCCCACCCACATCCCCACCCACCCCCACCCACAGCCCCACCCACAGCCCCACCCACAACCCCCACCCACAACCCCACCCACAGCCCCACCCACAGCCCCCACCCACAACCCCACCCAAACCCACCCACAACCCCACCCACAACCCCCACCCACAACCCCACCCCAACCCCACCCACACCCCCACCCACAACCCCCCCACATCCCCACCACAACCCCCACCCACAACCCCACCCACAGCCCCACCACAGCCCCACCCACAACCCCACCCCAACCCCACCCCACGTCCGCCGCCCACCTGCAGGATGGAGACGATGACGCCGAAGAGGCCGATGGCGCTGCCGAAGATCTCCACGATGAGGATCTTGACGAAGAGAGAAGCGTTCTGCGCGTCGGCAAGCGCCGCTCCGCTCCCCACCACCCCCACGCACACTCCGCAGAACAGGTTCGAGAAGCCCACGGTGAGGCCGGCCCCGAACATAGCGTAGCCTGTCGGGAGAGGGGCAGCACACCACAACTATGTGCCAAAGTGCACTGCGGCACACAGTCATGCGAGCTATGCCGGCCTTGTGAAGTGCTTGCAACAGAGGTCGCAATCGGGTACCCGATACCCGTACCCTACCCGATACCCGGTTACCCGTACCCAGTCGGGTACGGGTACCCGTTTGCGACCCTGGTGCGGCCGGGTACGGGTAAGGAATCAAAACCCACTATGAGACCTCCTTTATCAGTGGCAAAATATAGTAGCAGGTTTTTACCCTTTAAACTGGTACAAAACTGACACCTTTATACAAGACATCATGTTTGCAATAACCACAACACAAGTAGTCAAAATGCAAACAAAAGGAAACAACTCTGATGATGATTATTGCAAACATGATGCCTTGTATAAAGGTGTCAGTTTTGTACCAGTTTAAAGGGTAAAAACCTACTACTGAATCAAAACCCGTTTGCTGACCTCTGGCTTGCAAGCAGAACTCGCTCCAAAAGTCTGTTGAAGGCTATATGGGGGATCTTTGTTGTTGCTGTATTGTGCTGTACTGCGGCGTGCGTGCCGTGCCGTACCTGCGTGGTAGTTGCGGTTACCAATGAGCTCAGGGATGGCTCCTTTAAAAGGCTGCAACACAAAACAATAAACACAGGCATTTACAGACACGTACACACACGCAGAGCCACAAGTAAATCATACACAAGGATGCACACACGCATCGCCAAAAGTAAACACGAACATATTCCGCTTCAGCGGTGGCATTTCGTTTGGGTCGCTCACCTCGGCGAGGTTGCTGATGACGATGGCCATGATGATTCCATAGATGGCGACAGCTTCGCAGAAGATGATGCTGCATGGGAGAAGAGAGAGGCAGGGACCGAGAGCGGAGAGAGCGTTGGAGGAGACGTACCGACCGGTCACCGACATCAAAACAGCTTGAGGTACCTGACTGCTGGACGCCCCCTTTCACATCGTGGCCTCACGCTTTACACGCCCATGTGATGGGAAAACCTACCATCAAATCACCCGGACTGCGCCCCGGTCTCGTCAGATCACGGAAGCGAAGCAGCACTGGGCCTGGATAGTGCTGGGGGGATATGGATGACCACCAAGCACAACGGCTTGTCACGTAGCCATTGCCGTATATCCCGTGTTTTCTGACACGGCCCAGACCTTCTTCGCACGAAGCACTGGAACTTGTTGACGGACGCCTCCGATTTACCTACCCCGGTGCATAAACTGTCGTGAATCATAGCTCCGCTGAACCCAACCGGGTCACCTGACTGGGCATCTGGGGCTCACCTGACCAGGTTCTTGGTGCGGATGCGCGGTGCCTTCACTCCGCCGCCGATGATGCTCGAGCCGGTCATGTAGATGCCCCTGGTGAAGAACGCGAGCAGACGAATGTGAGAGCGCGCGTGGGGTGGGTGGGGGGGGTGCGTTCACGCTGTTTGCTTTGGGAGCCGCATCGACACGGCCGTGTGAAACTATCGAAATAATAGCGCTACCACCAAAGCGCGATAGTCAGCGGCAGGTCGGTGAAGCGTTCTCAAAATACACCAACGACCAATGGGGTGTCGGGGAGGCCTTCATCTAGCAGTGGATATATCACTGCTGCTCACGAGGCCGCACACAGCAAATTAAAATTGCAGTACGGTATTGTTACAAGTATTCACAATACAATAGAGTATGTACAAACAATTACGTTTATATGCACACGTACATAACAAGAGACGAGAAGCTATGACAGCGTACGTGGCACAAGCATCGCGCTGGGACGTGGCAAACTTGAGATTTCATAATCATAATACTTATTCATATTGGAGGAATAATTTGGTGAATGATCTACCGTCGAGACTCTTTGCCCACCCACAAAACCATTTGGGCAAGACCGGTAGACCCTGACAAGACTGGGTGGTGATCATAGGTAATTTGTGGAGTGTGTCCCTTAGCCGAGTGTCTGTATTTGCGGAAAAGTCGTTTGTGGCATCATTTTGCAGGGAAAACTGTGTACATTCTCATGGAAAAATATGCAGAAAACCAGTTTTCCGTGAATACACAAACCAGAAGTCATTGTCTGCACAAGTAAACGTGTGTATGTGTTTGTGTAAAGTGTTGATTGCTTGGCAAGGGCACAACACACCAACAAAAGCTCCTTCCCTCCCTCTCTATACGCGCATCATTTCTAAGCATGGCTCCAACAGCAGTGAACCTGTTTGGCCAAGATTCTCAGTCGTGTGTGCGCGCGAGCACACACCCACCAGACCAGTCTGACTCAAGCTGACTCAAGGTCACAGTAAAGCACACCGCAAGTCACATTCACGGGTCAGGACGGATGAGCAGATGAGAAGTTGATGTTGGGAAGGATGGCAGATTTGTTAGCCTTAGAACAATGAGATAATTAATCACATATTACTATTAACCATCAGCGGCTGGGATCAATCCACTGATGGACAAAGACCTCACCAAGCTATCGCCATCTCTCACCAAATTGAACTTACAATGTAAATGTAATTACGTAAGTGTTACATATACAACCAATACGATACATTTCATAATAGTCCTGAATAAATATTCAACAGAAATAGTAAGCTCAACAAATACATTCCAATAAAATAACACCAAATACATCTGAATAAATTAGGAAACATTTATTAATTTCAGAAATCCACACCTACATGTCAAGATTTATTTTCGTTTTGGAATATACGCGTAAAATCAACTTCCAAAATCATAACAATAATGCGCCACCATCTAAACACTGCTCAAGGCTTCGCCAAGTCGTTGCCATCTCCCATGCATGCACCTCCCCCCCCACTCCCAATGTTTCTTTGCACAGTTTGCATCTTTTGTTACATTATCATTGCGACTTTTGTAAAAAAAAAACTTAAGGAACATACCCACAGAAGAATGTTTTTGTATTAGCGAGTATTTTGTTTTCCTGCTGTGAGATATGAATCAGAAACATGCGCCAAATATCCATCCACCCTCTATGTTTGATCTAGCGATAAGGCTGTTGGAGCCCCGCGCTGGCAGCTCCCATCTCGATCTCCCCTCCACCTCTCACCACCCCCCCCCTCCACCACCCTCGCGGATCAGCTGACTGTGGTTTGAGCTCGTCCAGTCTGCAGTGCTCCGAATCCCACCCACCAGCTTTGCTCGGGTGCCCCTCCCTCTTTCATCTCAACAGTAATGTTTTTTTGTTATTTATAATCTATTGAAGTGCCCAAATAACTGCAGATTATGTTGATTTAAACTAAAACTATTTATTTTATTTTACAATGTAAGGCCCACTGACCTGGCCACAAAGTGGCTTACCATGTGGAAATTTATAGCGGCCAAATACTCTAAACGCATGTTTCTAAGTACTCTAAACGCATTTAGCCGGTGGCTAGGAGGTGGTCTCTGCGTCCCGATTGCGTTATCGTGCCCTGCGCATATTCGTTAGCTTCAACCGCATAATAAATTCGTGAACGAACACGTGAGTGAATGAGTGAGCGAACAAATGAACGTATGAGTGGGGCCTCTCACCAGGCAGCTCCGACCACGGACAGCGAAATGGCGAGGCCGATCCCAAGGTTGGCCCACATGTACGGGGACGTCTCGGTCAGGAACCTGACGGCAAGAGGACAAACGGCTTGTCGGCAAGTCACGGTTCCTCCGAGCCAGACGACAATGGAACACGGATGACACCAACAACGGCTGCACGCGGAATAACGCTTCACCACCGTCACAGTGGTGTAACAAATTTCGATTTAAAGCTTTCGTGACTGCAGGGATTCATCTTCTTGGTTCTTTCGGTAAAGCCACGTATAAGGAAAATAATAAAATAATAAAACATAATAAAATAATTCTCACGACGTTTCGGGCCACAACGCAAGCAGCCGTCCTCAGGTGAAGAACAGGTCTGTCGGAAAGACAGCGTCATTCAAACGTCATTCAGACGCTGTCTTTCCGACAGACTTGTTCTTCACCTGAGGACGGCTGCTTGCGTTATAGCCGAAACGTCGTGAAAATTATTTTATTATTTCCCTTCTACGTGACTTTACCGAAAGAACCAAGAAGAAAAAAAAAGAGTGATGTAACACTTTACCACATCGCCCGACTTGCAACCGGAAGTCTCGCGAGTTCAGATGCCGAGTCGGAGTTCAACTTAGCCCTTCGTTGCTCGGAGGTTGGCAAAACTCTGAGCCAGTATTAAGTGGGACATTCACTACCTTATAAATGTTCATTCATTTATCAGCCACGTGGACAGGAAATAACAAAAAGGCTGGAATAATTAAGGGCGTGTGGCTACAGTGCAGCAATGAGTAAATTCTTGTGCAAACAAGGGGTCAATTGTTATGAATGCAGTTAGCATTGTTCTTAAGGGTCAAGCTGAGATGTCGATCACTTGTACATTTCTGACGATCCTCGGCAAAACTGTGACAATCAAACGTTTGTGCCACCGATGGTAAGGTGGAGGAATAATCACTGGTACATGTACAGTCCTTTTGTCAATCCACTGCTGGATGAAGTCGTCCTCATGCCATGTTGGTCATGGGGGTTGTTTGACCAAATGTCACCACGACACTGGTCAGAGCAAAATGGCAAAGGGAAAGGACACAGAACTGTTCCAGATATCACTCGCCAATTATGTTAAACCCGTGACGAGGATTCGAACTCGGCTCACCAGGTTTGTAGCACAAGTGCGATACGAATCCGGCAAACTTTTTAGAAAGGGCTTTTAGAAAATTCATAAAAAATGCGTAAAAAAAGAGGCAGTGAAAATGTAAATAATTGCGTAGACTCATTCATTCGAATTACAGCCGTCACCTGCTTCATACAGCCGAAGTAGATCGCAGAAAGCTAACGGTGGTATGGAAAATAATTAACATTTTCAAGCGATTTATCACTGGGATGATGTTTGCACTTTGAGCAAAGACAGTATTAACCCAATTTCTCCACATTAAAACATGGAACAGCATCACTATACAACACTGCACATTAGCCTTTCATCGATTGGTATCATATCATGAACGTTTACGCAAAACCGTTCGTATTAAACGGCAAAAAAAATCGGCTGTGTCAATGATTAATGTTTTAGGTCATAACCACGGTACAAGTATTTAAAAAATAACCTCGGTAAAACTCAAGTAGTCACGCAATCCACAAAGCTAATAGGAGCACTATCTGTGAATGTCGTGCTCAATCCACTGCTGGAATGAAGACCGTCCCCATGCCGCGTCGGTTGTGTGGACTGATCGACCAAATTCCATTGAGCCGATTATTTTTACAGCCCCGTTTGTATTGCCTATCACCGATGTTCTGCCGCTTTTGTTTAAACTCATTCATACCTTCAACCCACAGGTTAATATTCGCATAAATTTTGTATGAACCCTAAAACAATTGATTCTTACATGGCCCATGCAACGCACGCATCATGGGTGTTATAAGCTATAATTTTAATAGATGCGTCGTCACATGCCGAGAGGGTGCATCGCAACTCCAGCGGCTAAGCACTCTCTCACTCTTACAGAGGCTGCAGGCAGTGGTGGCCTAATGGCTCAGAAGTGAGAGCACAGAACTGGCTTTCAATTATGGGTTAGACTCCGGACACCACCTGTGATTAAAGCAGGTTCCGTGTGGTGCGATGGTGACCAGTGACTGAGAGAAACCCATACATTGCTAGACGAGACCCACAAACTCGTAATGAGATATCTATAGATAACAGGTTTTTTTGGGGTTAGATCGTGTAAATATATAAATGTGTCATTAAACCCACCACCACCCGACACAGCCAACTAGTAAGGGTTGTCACGTAAACAGAACGCAGAACGTGGCCAATTCGTCACTAGTACAGCACTAACCGGTGTGTTGGAGAGCCAAGCCACAACATTTACAATCTGAGTATGACGTTTCGCCAGTAATTACAACTAGCTTCACCCCTCCCCACTTGCATCAAGTGGGGGGGGGGGGGATTAATGAATGCATATAAATGACTATGGGTATCTATAGATTTAAAGATTAAAAACCAGGTTCTCAATTCGAGTCGACGGTCTCATCCCGGTCACCAATGACTGCACAAAATAGTCCCATAAAATTTGGATCTGCACTTAATTTTTTATGAATTCCAGCTATAGTTTCAAATATCGGTGTGGCTATCATGTGATGACCATTACTCTCTGTAATGTTTGAAGCAGAGGTCACTTTAAGGGATTTCAGAGGTAGTCAGCCATGAGGCCAATCACAAGTACACTGTGGTTGCAATGTTATGAATAGACACAATTACAAATGTAATTGAAGACACACCTGGAGGCTGTTCTACGATATCCACTTCCACGGCCATCCTCAAACTGTTGCTCTGATAAAACTTTTGAATGGATTGCTTAGCGTCATGAAGCATACAACACCAAAGGCATCATCAGAAACAAATTGGTTACAAAGTAAATTTTTTTTAAACAATGCAGTTCAAGAAACCAATGACCAAGGGCACTGGGCATCTGAGGGCGGACGCGACCTGCCACCGTCACACATCTCCCTCTCCCCCCCCCCGTTGCGCACTGTTTACAGTAAGCGTCTGGCATCACTAGCGCATGCACGTATACACACATACACGCATGCACGGTGAGCCTGCCCCACCGAAAAGCAGCCACAACCGGCACGGGCCACCGCTAAAACCGCCCCATAGCAGTCGAGTCCTCACCATCCGATGTCGAACCGGAATCCGAGGTCGAAGATGGTGTAGCAAATCCCTTGGGGGGTGGTGGGCAGGAGGGAGGGAAATGCACGAATGGGTTAGCGTGGTGGGATAAATCGGAGGTTTCAATGCTTGTTCAGGTATTTTTGTTCACGTCACACATGCCGGCGTTCTTTTAGAATGAGCGTCGCGAAGGTGGGAAGGTGTGATGGCAGGCTGAGGGAAAAACAAAGTGTTAAATCAGTTCCAAAATTAATGAGCTTACGACCAATTCACTTGAAATGCACACACGTCACAGAAATGACAAGCTAAGCAGGGCTGAATCGTGTAAAGTGCAGTTTCCAACTCTTATTATCCACTCTATATCTTTGGCCTATTTATGTGTGAAGGGTCATTTCCCAAAACGTTGCCTATTATATATTTGCCAAAGCAGCTGCATCACCAAATACGTCTTCCTTTTTTCCTTTTAAGTAGTGTGTTGCATGTGGAAAGAAACCAGAGTACCCGCAGTAGACACACCAAGCACAGAGTGGATAATAACACTCAAATCTTTGCACCGATGTGTTAGCAATGAACAAAGTGTATGTCAGTGTCATACTGTGCCAAAATAAAGCACAACAGTAATCAACCCACAGTGAATGTTCACGTGGCTCCATGATAAAAAAGTACTAAATACATCCACAATTAATCTCGATAGGTCCCGTAGTTAATCACCAAGAAACCCATGGAATATGTAACGTTACCATCATGGTTAAATAAAGAAAAATCGTGATTTAACTACCACTACCATGATTGGAATAACACCAAGAGACAGACAAGCAACACGTGAACTTCGAGTATAAGCTCAAGTTAGAGAGACATCTCATAGACTATTACGAAAGGGAAGTGAGCTTGGGGCGGACACCGCGGAGAAGGGGGCGCAGTCGGTGGTCGAAGGGGGATGACAGAGTAGCAGCCAAAGGAGGGAAACGCATCTGGGGGTGGTGGAAATGAAATCAGCGAGATGGATTGTTGCATCGCAAAACCGTGAGAGATGGCAATGGTTCGGGGGAGGCCCTCATTCCAGCAGTGGGATTTATCATGGCTGGCGACGATGAGCGATGAACTCTCAGTGAATGTCAATAAAATGTGCATGGTTCAGTAAAGGTGCGAGTGGTCGTGCACCCGGGTGAACTCAATGTGGACATCAAGCTTCAAAGTCAATCTCAATGCTTACTCATGGCCAAAGCAAGGAGACATAACGAAAGCAAATCTCTGCGTGTCTTGAATGGTTCATAAAGGACTCCACTCGTCCACTGTGGATGACCATACGCCAATTTCAATTAATCTACATGTCGATGTATCACCCAAGTTGAATTAAGAACGTACCAAAACATAAAGGACAATCGCAAAGAATTCAGCGAATGCCAAAGCCCCCGTGACCACAGCACAAGACATCCACAACATGCCTCCACATCGGCAAATAAAAGGGCACATAAAACACCATCAATCTCCACGTGACCCCCCACCCACAGCCCCCCAATTGGTTGAAGAGAAGAGGTCCACTCGCTTTGATTAACATGCGACCAGCGGCAAAAATAACGTGCAAAACAGTCATCACGGTGAATCCGAATACTGTCCTCCCCCGTGGTCCACTAAAGGACGTGGTCACCATAAACCCCGTGGTTATACCAAGGACTATAAAACACTATGCAACCAATGGTTAAATAAATGGTTAAATAAATGGTTAAATAAAGGGGAAACCATCATAAACGCGTATAATTCGTACTGACCCCACACGTTGGTGAAATAAGGGGGCATATCAAGACGTATATCGGTGGGCACCAAGTCTAAATGAAGGTCACGTCAAGGCACACACACAACAGGTAATAATGTCGGTGGTTAGATCCCGGACTCACCCACGATGGTGAGCGTGCTCCAGAAGGCGAGCGAGACTCCGCCGTAGAGAAGAGAGAGCGCGGCCATGGCTGTCAGCACAAGGAACACAGCAGAAGCAGCAGAAGCAGCAGCCCTCATCAATGACCACAAGCCACTCGTCACGACAACAACTGCAATCACCAATCGTTACAACACCACGGCAATTACGAAGCGCGTCTCTCTTGGTCGGGCATTAAATCAGCGTTTGATGAATTCTAGAAAGCCGTGGGGAGCAGGTCCTTGGGTGAGGCCTTCACCCAGCAGTGGACAGAGCATGGTTGACGGTGGCGATGACGATGAGACTGATGAGAGAACTTAATGAGCCCTGCGTCTAGCAGTGAGAGATTACGGTCGATGGTGATGACGACGATGATCGTGGGACGATGAGTGACGCCACTTAAGAGAGGCCTTCACCCAGCAGTGGACAGGGCATGGTTGACGGTGGCGATGAGACTCATGAGACTGATGTGAAGACTTAATGAGCCCTGCGTCTAGCAGTGGAGAGATCACGGTCGATGGTGATGAAGACGATGACCGTGGGAGAGGCCTTCACCCAGCAGCGGATAGAGCATCCGCGATGACCCCAGGCCCCCCACTCCTCACCTGGATACCGACAGCCCCGGATCGCTCAAAACCTTTTCCGACTCTACGGACCCCCGTAAATAACTACGACGACGATCGTGTAGCTTGTGCTTATTCTACAATAACTACTACTTACTAATGATGATGATGTTTGAGCGTTAATCTCCAATCGTTAATTTCTCCCTCCCCGGTCGCCGTCTCTCTCGCTTCGCTTCTTCCTCTGGCCGGGGACCGTCTCTGTCACGTGACTTCGTGACGGTCCGCACGCACGGCGCACGTGACTATCCGGTGATGGATGACCGTCACGATTTTTTGTGTTAAACTCCTCCCCCCCTACTCACCCCCTCCCCACTCACCCCCTCCCCACTCACCCCCCAGTCCCCCACTCACCCCCCCCTCACCCCCTCCCCACTCACCCCCTCCCCACTCACCCCCCCACTCACACCCCTCCCCACTCACCCCCCCACTTACCCCCCTCCACTCACCCCCCCCACTCACCCCCTCCACTCACACCCCCCACTCACACCCCCCCACTCACACCCCTCCCCACTCACCCCCCCACTCACACCCCCCCACCCCTCCACCCCCCACTCACCCCCCCCACTCACCCCCTCCCCACTCACCCCCCCCCCCACTCACCCCCCCACTCACCCCCCTCCACTCACCCCCCCCGACTCACCCCCCCCACTCACCCCCCCACTCACCCCCCCCACTCACCCCTCCCCACTCACCCCCCCCCACTCACCCCCGCCCACTCACCCCTCCCCACTCACCCCCCCACTCACACCCCCCCCCCTCACCCCCCACTCACCCCCCCCCACTCCACCCCCCACCCCCCCCCCCCCACTCACCCCCCACTCACACCCCCCACTCCCACCCCCCCACTCACCCCCCCCCACCACCCCCTCCCCATCACCCCCCCCCCCCCACCCCCCACTCACCCCCTCCACTCACCCCCCCCACTCACCCCCCCCCCACCCCCCCCCACTCACCCCCCTCCACTCACCCCCCCCCACTCACACCCCCCTCACCCCCCCCCCCCACTCACCCCCCCCTCACACCCCCCACTCACACCCCCACTCACCCCCTCCCTCACCCCCCCCCACACCCCCCCCCACTCACCCCCCCCACCCCCCCCCACTCACCCCCCCACCCCCCCCCCCCCCCCCCCCCACTCACCCCCCACTCCACCCCCCCCACTCACCCCCCCCCCCTCACCCCCCCCCACTCACCCCCCCCCACTCACCCCCCCCCACCACCACCCCCCCCACACCCCCCCCCCACTCACCCCCCCCACTCACCCCCCCCACTCACCCCCTACCACCCCCCCACTCACCCCCCCCACTCACCCCCCCCCACCACACCCCCCACTCACCCCCCCACTCACCCCCTCCCCCCTCACCCCCCCACTCACCCCCTCCCCACTCATCCCCCCCCACCCCACCCCCCTCACACCCCCCACCACCCCCCCACTCACACCCCCCACACCTCCCCCCCCACTCACCCCCCCCCACTCACCCCCCCCACTCACCCCCCCCCCACCCCCCCCCACTCACCCCCCCACTCACCCCCCCCTCACACCCCCCACCACCCCCCCCACTCACCCCCACCCCCCACTCACCCCCCCCTCACCCCCCCACTCACCCCCCCCACTCACCCCCCCCCACTACCCACCCCCCACTCACCCCCCACTCACCCCCCACTCACACCCCCCCACTCACCCCCCCACTCACCCCCCCCACTCACCCCCCACTCACCCCCCCCCACTCACCCCCCCACTCACCCCCCCCCACTCACCCCCCCACTCACCCCCCCCACTCACCCCCCCCACTCACCCCCCCCACTCACCCCCCCCCCCACCCCCCCCCCACTCACCCCCCCCCCCCCCACCACACCACCCCCCCACTCACCCCCCCCCCCCTCACCCCCCCCCACCCCCCCCACTCACCCCCACCCCCCCCCACTCACCCCCCCCACTCACCCCCCCCCCACCCACCCCCACTCACCCCCCCCACCACCCCCCCCCTCACCCCCCCCACTCACCCCCCCCCACCTCATCCCCCCCACCACCCCCCCTCACACCCCCCCACTCACCCCCCCCACCACACCCCCCACCCTCACCCCCCACTCACCCCCCCCCCACCACCCCCCCCACTCACCCCCCCCTCCACCCCCCCCACTCACCCCCCCACTCACACCCCCCCCACACCGCCCACTCACCCACCTCCCCACTCACCCACTCCCCCCCCCCCCACCCCCCACTCACCCCCCCACTCACCCCCCCCACTCACCCCATCCCCCACTCACCCCCCTCCCCACTCACCCCCTCCCCACTCACCCCCCCACTCACCCCCCCACTCACCCCCTCCACCACCCCCCCCACTCACCCCCCCACTCACCCCCCCACTCACCCCCCCCCCCACTCACCCCCCCACTCACCCCCCCCCCATCACCCCCCCACTCACCCCCCCCCCACTCACCCCCCCACTCACCCCCTCCCCACTCCCCCCCCCACTCACCCCCCCCCACTCACCCCCCCTCCACTCACACCCCCCCACTCACCCCCTCCCCACTCACCCCCCACTCACACCCCGCACTCACCCCCTCCCCACTCACCCCCCCACTCACACCCCCCACTCACCCCCCTCCACTCACACCCCCACTCACCCCCCACTCACCCCCCCCCCCCCACTCACACCCGCACTCACCCCTCCCCACTCACCCCCCCCCCCACTAACCCCCCCCCACTCACACCCCCCCACTTCACCCCCCTCCACTCACCCCCCCCACTCACCCCCCCACTCACCCCCCCCCCCCCCCCCCCCCCACCACCCCCCCCCCACACCCCCACCCACACCCCGCACTCACCCCCCCCCACTCACCCCCCCACTACCCCCCCCCACTCACCCCCCCCACTCACCCCCCCCCATCACCCCCCCACTCACCCCCCTCACTCCCACTCACCCCCACTCACTCCCCACTCCCCCCCCCCCCACCCCCACTCACCCCCCCCCACTCACCCCCACCACCCACTCACCCCCCCCCACTCCCCCCCACCACTCCCCACCCCCCCCCCCCCCTCACCCCCACTCACTCCCACTCACCCCCACCCCTCCACCCCCCCCCCCCACACGTGACTTCATGTCCAAACAAATAACTTCTTCAATCGTGAGCGGTGATGACGTCGGCACGTCGGATGTTTGCGAGATTGTCCCGCGGGCAATGACGTCGCGGAGGCGCGAGGCGAAAACGCGATGACGTCATACCGCGATCAATGAAACTGCTCTGGAAATGACGTCATAATCAAGGATGTCGTCACTCCTTCGGGAACGTCGCTGCGGCAAAAATAACTACGGCGAGCGGGGAGGGAGGACGGCGGTGATTTTCGCGTTTTAATATTACGACGTGTTGATTTAAGCGATTTTTAAAAATACTTTTTACTGTATTCGATTGTTTACAAAGTTGTGTTTATGTGAGCGAAAGCTATCACTCGCATTCGTCGAATTCTAAATTAATATTGACAACCAGATTAGTTGTCTTGGCAGTTTTTCATTCATAGTCGAGGCTTATTAATTACGAAACATTAAATAAGCAGCCTTAGTATCTATCTCTCCACATAAAAAAAATACCGTGTTTGTAATACAACCCATTAGTTACACGATCGTCCGGGAGGGCATCATTTACAACAGCATTGATTCAAATCCGCGTTCAGATGCGCTTCTGTGGTGGCCGTCTGGAACGCTCTTCCGATATTCGGGAGCCACTGGGAGCTTTGTAGTTTTAAATCGTCTAGCTTGACAAACTAATTGATTTAAAACTGCTTTTTGTATTCAGTTTGTTGCCCTTCCCCTGCACCTCCGATTAGCACGGTTGTCTACGTACGGTGCGAAAGAAGTTCAACACAGAGCATCAAAACCACCGAGGCTTTACGGGCTACCAAAAATTCACAAAACCTGATGTCCCATTAAGACCCATAGTTAGTACAATAGGCTCTGACACCTACAAATTAGCACAATACGTAACGAAACAAATACAGGCCTACATCGGTAGGACCTCTTCATTCATAAAAAAAAAATTAACCCGTAAAAACAAAGTTTTTCACTATAAATCCTTTATATGCGTGGCGGCTAGAGTCCTCTCGTCCTCTGGCTTGAGATGGCTGCCACCTATGGGTCAGATGATTGCCAGTATTAAGCAATTGGTAATTAAATATTTAATTTGTTTTCCCTAAAAAATGTAAAATTTAGGGAAAAAATTTCACAAACATTAATTGTCTCGCACAACGAGTCTGTGGAAAATGTCAGCTCGATTGGATCACGGGAAGTGGGTTAAAAAGCGACCGAAAGATTTGCACGGTTGTAAGCGCGCAAGCAAGTGAACTTAATATAAAGGATTTTTAAAAAATCTGAACATCTCGAAAATATAATTAAAGATATTAATCTTAATCCTAATGATATTCTCGTAAGTTTTGATGTTACCTCTGTGTTCACGATGGTTCCGGTCAACGAGTCAATTAAATTACTCGATACTCTGGTAACGAACAAAGGTTTAGCCAAAGATATCCCAAGACGAGATGAACACTGTCTAAAGAACACCTACTTCTTGTGGCAAGGTGACTTCTATAAACACAAGTAAGAAGCAGCAATGGGCTCTCCTTTGTCTCCTGTGATTGCGAATTTGTACATGGAAGATTTTGAAACAAAAGCAATAGCTTCAAGCACACTAAAACCATCTGCTTGGTTGAGATATGTGGATGACACATTGGTGGTCGGGCCACACGGCAAAGATACACTGAACGCATTTCTAAATCATCTCAACTCGTAAAACCCATTCCATCCAGTTCACCATGGAAGTGGAAGCTTACAGAAGTCTACCATTTCTTGATATTCTGCTCGGACGGGGTAGAAATGGTAAATAACACACGGTTCTAGATTTGAAGCTTTCGTGACTGCAAGGATTCATATTATTAGGTTTTTTCAGTAAAGTCAAGTACTTGATACAGCTGTCGTGGCTGTGACGGTTCCACCTGAAGACGGAAGCTTGTGTTGCCTCCGAAACGTCGTGATTTTTATTTTATTTTACTTTTATTAATTTTAATGTTTTACCTACGTGACTTTACCGAAAAAACCTAAGAATATAACACACGGTGTTTACCGAAAGAAAATGCATACTGACGCCTATCTGAATGCAGAGTCACACCATCACCCCGCACAGAAATCTGCTCTTATCAAGACGCTCATTCATCGAGCTAAGAAAGTGTCAGATGGTGACAGTCTGA